ATCAACCAATTGTGCTTCATGAAAACGTCAGCCCTCATTTGTGTCTCGCTGTTTTCTTCTGTCCGGCTGTAAACAAGGCTAGCTCGAATGGTCTCCCTACCCTGATCTGCACAGGCAGATCACACAGTCAGACCGAGTCAGCGACCTCAGAGCTCAAATTAAAGTTCCTTCTTGCAGACAACAGTTCCAGTGCACACTGGGAAGTCACAAAGAGAAGCAATTTGGGAATGACAGAGTTAGGATCCCTTTTCCAAAATGCATACCTCACATTCCTACACATACTGGCTTGGCGTGTCTCTTCCATGAAATGAAATTAGGTGTTCCTAATATGAACAACTAACTGTGTTTTTCGGCAGACTAGCTCAGCAGATTTATCGTGTTGGGTAGGCGGGGGGTGGTGGTGAGCCTTTTTTGTTGTTTCACCGCTCTGGGGCTTTGCTTGGATCAGCCAAAAAAGACATGGATAGAAATACTGTCAATCTGGTCCAACTCCAGGAACCTAATCATGCCTGAATCGCTCGGAGGAGCGTGATGATGGCAAACAGGCACAGGTAGGTGGCTTCTGTTCGCATGCATGTCAGCCATAGTGTCGCCTTCACACTAAAGTAAAATACAATTTTGAGGGACTGTCATCTCAGTAATAAGAGGGAGAGAGTGTCATTGAAACCGCTTTCTTCAGCAAGCGGCATGGAGGTAATATTTAGTATTCACTGCATTGCGTTCTCCTAGCCAGCTGCTGTGTCCCTGTTAAGATTCTCATTTATGCAGCTTGAGCTGAAACCTTTTTTTTTGTTTTCCCAGTCTATTACTTTGTCTATGTAAGGGAAAACAGCCAAAGTGAAACAGCTTGCAATTTGCACCTGTCTGCTCTAAGCATTCCATGTTAGATTATGCAGAGGGCAAACCCTTTGCACACCACTAATGAGAGTAAGATTAGTAGAACTGGATACTTTAGTAAAACTGTACGGCTTACAGGGTATTTCGGTGATTTTAATTTTTTTTATGACCTGAAAGGGACCACTCAATTTTTCTGTTTTAGAGTCCCTGAAGCAGGATGAGACCATTCAAAAGTCTATAAAGCCGTGCATTCCTTAAAGAAATTGTGTTATTGTCATGTAACTAAGAATCAAATGGGTATTCGGCCTGAGTTGTTTCAAAGGAGAAAGAAGAAATTTCAATGCTTATTTCCAAGTTGTTGTAAGTATAAAATACCTATAGACACCTTTACTTTGTAAAACTGGTCATGAGAGAAAGGAAGGAAAAAAAACAATTTTCGGATGTGTTTCACAAATAGGACTAGTTTTGGAAATAATGTCAAATACCTGAAAGTAAATTTGAGTTCTTTGCTTTCATTGCTGAGTCAAAAACAAAAATTCAAGTAGATGACTTCACCATCATGCTGAGACAGACATAAATATATGTATTCAACGCATCCCGTGACTCACAGAATGCAAACTTGACACTTGCAAAAATGTCAGCACCTGTGATTCTTTCCCACATTTTCCTAGAACTGCTCTGCCATCCCCCTTAGTTTTGATTTCTTGGAGGAATGTTAGCAGGGAGTTACCATCTATTTTGAAAGCATTTCAATTAAACTCATGCAGATAAAAGAACAAACTAATCATAGGTTACCATGGCTTCCCAAACCTTATGTATTTTTAAGAAATCATACTAATAACATTTGAACAATTAGGCAAAGTATGTCTAAAGAGGATTCAAAATGATTAAACAAACAAAAAAAAAAGCGTGTTTATCAGAGGATCCACGCTACATTTGGATTCCAAAAAAATTCCCGTATTGGCACTTCCTGTTGAGATAATGACTGATATGATGACGGGTTAAATGAAGTCGAGGTGGTAGCAAATGTGTCTCACCAGTAATTAATGTAGCTGGGTATGGCTGTTAGCCCACAACTTGCCTGACAGATAACGTTCCAGCACGTTCAGAGATGACCCTTTGAGCACAGCTTTGGGAGTTCTGCCAGCCATTGCCGAGTCTGGTTAGGTCAAAGGGTTGAGCCATGTGTAATTCAGAACAGAGGAGGTCCCACGGTCACTCCACAAAAACAATTACACTACTTATTTCACTCTAGCCCTTGCCCAAAACTCACAAGCCTCACAGTTTCAGTGCAGTCAATCTAATTCTGCCCTTGGGCGATAAGCCACATGAAAATATGTGGTGCTGTGTTTATAAATCTAATCAAAAATAGAAACAGTAGGCAGGCACAATGAGGTCCTACTAAGGATCCTGGGAATCCTCGGAAATTCTGAAGGCACTTTTGTTGAACTTCTGTAGAATCTCTTTTGCCACTCCGTTGTCTGTTACACTCGTTAATCATGCTCTTCACTCGTGAGTGCTACAAAGGAGGCTAAATTTTCTACTCGCTTCTATACTTCCCCTCCATGGATAATATTATGAAAAAAGCTTAAAAGGTTGCTTTTAAAGAAAAAAAACAATCAAAGAGGAGCCACTGTTTCATCAATCTTACCTCTCTATCCATGTTCTCCACTCCTTGCCCTTGGCAATGCATGGAGTTAAATCGAGTTCCTCTAAAAAAGAAAAAAAAAAATAGCATTTGAAAATCAGAATAAATTGACCCAACCATAAGATATGTTAGACAATGTGCGTTGGAAGAGCTATGATGCTATCTCATAATACCCAAAAAATCTAAATAAAAAGCCAACAGGATTCGATTTAGTATCTTCCTTTCACTGCTGTTCTCGTTTATTTAATGAACTGGGAGTCGGTAAATATGCTAGGGAAAGTTCAGACATGATTTAGATAGCCTAAATTTTCTCCCTAATATCCAAGAGGTGGCAAATGCAAACTGCATGAAGTTATATGAACAACTTGCTGCTGCTTGCCTTAGATAGCTCTTCTATGTTCATCTTTTTAAAAATTACGATCCAGTTTTGCAACTGTCATAACTAGATGCTATCTGATAAAGTCTTTGATAAATGTGTACTTAGGGGCCAAGCAGAAGAAACCCTTAAAACATTATCCAGCGAAGATACGGAAAGCAAAAATGTTAATGAAAGAAAATGTGTTTGTAATACTCTTCAAACTCATGAGAGTCATGCAATAAGTTATCAAGTTCAATCTGCAAGCTATTCCACGTGATATTATTTCAAGTGACAGAAATACTGCAGTAGAATATCGTCTGGGGCCAGATGATGATAACAAATGAGAAATTTTAAAAATGAACAATGATCCCAGCATTGGTTGAATTATTATAAACATTTGCGAAAGGAGTCTTTTAAACTTGGAAGTTGCCTTTTTGAAATGTCATCAGTATTTGGCAGTAGAACAAAGTACATCGTGTGTGAATGACACATGTGACAAATACATTTTTTGTTCTGAGCTATCAATTATAGTTTTAAAAACTGCCTGTGTCTTAACAGCCACCAATGTTAAAAATAAAAGAAATATTTTAGTCCTTTCAGTGCTAATTTCAAAACTTTTACTTTTTAATGCTAAGAGTAAAATAAAACATATAAAGATTTTATTGAATTATGTCCCAACATAAGGGACTTCCATGTAAAATTACTTAAAAGAAATCAACATCAAAATGAGAAAATTTTCGACAATAAGCAGAAATTGAAGTTTGACTTACTGTTTTGGTTTGTTTTTTGTTTTTTTCCCATGGCATGGTATCTGAAGAGTAATTCAAAAGCATATATTTCTGGGAATGTTTGTGGAGTGGAAATCTGCTTTCTTTTGTTTCTTTAAATTTGGCCTTAATCTAATAGCTAATACTTGTTCTTTTTAAATGTTTGCAATTTATTAAGTTGCTCAAGTTATTGTCACTGTAAATTTATTTTGCAGACATATAATCCATAGTGTATGAGCCAAAAAACACAGGTTGCCTCTATTAACATCAATAAAATACTCAGGAAACACTTCCATAAAGCCAATTACTTCTCTCCACAGAAGTCTGTGTTTTAAATGTCTTTCTACACAAATATTCAAAACATAGTACGAGTACAGGAAACTCAGTATAATTGCTAAATTAGATCAAAATCCCTCATAATCTGGTATAAGACACGGAGCTGAATGTAGGAAGCAATTTGATGGAAGTCCACAGTGCATCATTTTAAAACAGCTGTTGGGGGCCAGGAGGTATTGTAGTGGTAATGAAAATGGACCCACACGAGAAAGGTCCTGGATTTGCATCCTGGGACCTCCCTGGGTACACCAAGCACACACACGCACATGCCCATGAGCCAGACTGGCTGAGATTGGGAATGGATCAGGGCATGAAGACCCTGCTGGGGACGTCTCTCTCTTTCTCTTTTCTCTCCCACTCATAGAAGAAATACATTTTAAAATGATAAAATCACAAAAGTGAAAGATAAAAGGCAGCTGTCACGAGAGGAGTTATACAACTGCCCATTCCCCTGGACTGTGAATGAAAGACTAGGGTGGCTTCTTGCTTAGAAATCTGGAAGTTTAGAGCAGGTATTTTATTTGCAACAAAGACTCTCAGTCCCAAGTTTCTATGAGCTGGAAACTGAATGTTGTAGTCTAGTCCATCAGAGTTATGAGATGACCAGCAAAATAGGGGTAGTGAAAAAAAAAAAAGAAAAAAAAGACCCACCTTGAACCAGAAGAAAATCTGTCAACAGGTGACATGGCTTTAGAGCATCAAAAGATTTAGGCAGTGTTTGACCCGGATCTAAATATTGAAATATGAAAATATGTTCTCCATGCAATTCCCAGGAGCTTAACTCAAAAGTTTTGCAAGTGGGGAAGCATTGTTAAAGAGTCAGAAATAGCCCATCAGCTTCTAAGAGCTCTGACAAATCAAGCAGAAGACAAATAAAGGTATGAGACCACGTTCCAGAGGCCAGATGAGAACAGTCAGTGCAAGAGACACGGGGCCCAGTTAATGCGTGCCGGGCAGCAGAGCAGACTGTGGAGAATGGATGGGTTAAGTTAAATAGGAGAAAGTAAGTGGAAGAAATGCATGAGCAAAGAGTGGTGATGAAGATGAGAACTATGAATCCACAGGACAATGACTAGAATTTATCAGTAAATAATGATTCTAATAAGTTAGTGAATAATGAGCACCCATTATAGCCTTTAAAAAAAAAACTAAGAAAGAAACAGAAATATAGAAAGAACGAAAGAGGAAAGAAAGAAAGAGAAAGAAAGAAAAAGAAAGAAAGAAACTGGAGCCAGCAGATGGCATAGCGGTTACATTGTTGGACTCCCACATGGTTGACCACTGTTTGAGTCCCTGACCTGGTGGCTTGAAAATCACACCAGGCATGTGTGTGTGTATGCCCAAGATGCCAGGAGGAAAATGGAGAAGGGATTGTGGCATGGCCATTGCCCCGGGTGGAGTGATTTCTCACTTTCCCTCTCACTATTTCTCTCCAGCGAATGCAGACACCCTAAGGCAAAAATCTCTAAAAAACAAAACAAAAAAAAAAAAAAAACCTTTTCCCTTGAGTGGCTGGCAAAATATGGAGCCAATCATAAAAAATGGTGCATTCGCTAAACTATGTCAAGGAACTTAATGTCAAGAAAATTCAAAATAGCCTATTTTTTTTGAGGGGAAGGGGGGAAGGAAGAAGGAGAAATAAGTTATAAACACTATAAATTTACTTAAAAAAATTTTAGTTTGGGCCTTATCAAGAACACTGGACTACAAAATTAAAGAGCACCATTATAAATCTTTCATTGTGGCTCAAATTTGACCACAGTATAACATGTTCATTGAAATAAACTACAATTGGGATCATCGTTTAAAAGCCAATCACAAACTTGCAAGCAGATTGATAATTGCAATGCAAACTGCTTACCACATTTTACTGAGCCCAGCCAGGCTAATAATCATCATTGATTTGTACAGTCACATTTTTGTTTGTTTGTTTTAAGGCTGATTTTGAAATGGCTTTCACTGAAATTGTTGACCTTGTATTGCAAATTAAGCCTAGGAATTGCCAAATCTCTGACGACTGGTTCATTGGTTCCAGAGAAGGGAATTAACATGGCTACAGCTGTCATTCCATTGCATTTCTCTTCTCAAGCAGACCAGCAAGGGCAAAGATGGTGTTAGACAGAGGTCGCAAGCCAGATTCTGTCTGCAAACATGTTTTGTTTGACCTCCACAGTGATTTAAACAGTGTAGAGCCAACCTATCAAAATAAGAAAATTGTAACTTAAAATAAAAATCTAACTTCTAGCTCCTTTTATAAAATTAAAAACATTGGCAACATAAAATCAACATCTGTGGTTGGAAACAATTGGCTAGAGGCAGGTAATGGCAACGTGATTTTTAGGCAATGTTCTCCAAGCCAACAGTTCCCACCTTCTTGATGGCAGACCACATACCAACATGTAAGTTCCATAAGGGCAGGAATTGTTTTATTCAATGCTGCATCTTCTGAACTTGGAACAGCCTGGAAGCTAGTGGATATTTGATAAACATTTACTATTGAATAAAATTATCTCAGGGTAGATCCGTAACATTAACAGGTTGGCTTTAAGATGATAGGGAGTTCCCAAGAACTGTCACAGTACATACTCCATTTTTTAAAACAGAAAGGAAGAAGGGGATAAAAAGAAAACTGTGCAGGCCAAATAAATTTTCCCAGATCTTAGGCAGAGAGTTTCCACATATCGTTCCGCTTGTATTGCTATTTTTCTTATAAAAAAAATAAAATAAAATAAAAGGCTTTTCTGTATTCCTTCCCAGCATGTGTTGTAGTAAGTGGTTAAGGCACTGGATCCAACACTGCCTACTCCATGGTTTGGGAACTGACCCCACAGTTTGAAAAATATACTGTGGAGGTGTTCTTGTGTGTCCAAAACCCTGAGAGGACAAAGGGGGAGAAAGGATTGCTGTGTGGCCATCCCCCCTGGAGAGTGATTTCTCACTTTCCTTCTCTCATTGCCCATTGCCTCTCTCCAGAAAGTGCACATGCACCATGGCAAAAAAATATATAATAATAATTTTAAAAAAAAATAGTAGGACCACAAGTGTCGGAGAAAATGAGAACACGCATAGACCCTGCACACTTTACTATTTATATCTCATACCTGGCCCCTAAAGGCATCTGGGTTTAAAACTTCTGAGAAAAAAATGAAGTAGGCTTGGTAGCCATGATGGCGAACTGCTCTGCCATACTTCTTCCTCATTCTGCTCAGCAGTTTTCTGCACTAAAATCAAAATCTACATTGGAAAATAAATTTTTAAAAAATATAAAACCAACCTTGGAAAGTCACTTGTGAATTTAACACTTTAATACTCTACATACAGCTGGAATAGGGGAATGGAATGAACTTGCGTGTATGGTTACAAAGGCTTTGGTTCAAAGCTATATGTGGAAGCACTGCTTAATCTCTGAAAGTCTCCAATTTCTCTAAAGGAGAGTTGAGAAAAAAAAATTAATTATGTAGGTCAGACTTCCAGCTTCAACTTAGAGTTTACAAAGCTGAAAAGAGCATGGTTCCAAAATGAAAAGCAAAAATATCCTAAATAATCTTCAAATC